ATCCACTCTCATATATTTTAGGAATTCAACATTCAAATCATCATTGTTAATGCCACTCTCTAAAGTACCTTTCAAGAAGGCTTCTCCCTAATTACGAGTTCATACAATTCCTAGCATTCCTAATAATTAGTTCATCAAGTGCAGGAGCTTAACGACAACCAATATAATATTGGGAGAGATTCCCCGGATCTAGACTTCCCCGTACGTTCCCGTATCGACAAAATCAATAATCATGCATCGAATGAGTTAAACAAACACAAGCATTAAGCAAAGAGGAAAAACCCTAACTAATGATGAAAGAAAGAGTAGGTCTTAAATATAAGATGTAAAAACAAATTCCATATATGAGAGCTTCAAAAGATTACATTGATTCCCCAACAAACATATAAGGTTTAGTTCACCATATTCATGGTGAACCTAAATGAACAATAATGAAAGAATGAAAGATAAAACCCTAAAAAGGTGAAGAGGTAGCCTGAGCATCCAAGATCCTCCTTCAAAGGGGTGGAAGAGAGAGTGTTTGCCTCCTTTCTGCCAAGGATACAAACCCTAGGACGTCCTAAAGCTTATATACTATTCTAAAATTACAAAAAATCTAGGTCCAAGCCCATAAGTGTGCCGCTCAGCGGTAAACTACCGCTCAGCGGTAAGTGCGTGAGTAGTTTCTTCCCCTCAGCGGCCATTTTGCCACTCAGCGGCCCTCCCGTGAGCTCCTGAGTGCCGCTCAGCGGTAAACTGCCGCTGAGCGGTACTTTCGGCTTCTCCTTTTGCACTTTTTAATGTCTTTTCTGATTCCATCTCTCTCCTTCTTCACTTCTTTCACTAAATTCACCTTAAAACCTACACAAAAGCACTGAAATCAAGCATAAACCTGTCCAGCTCTCTTATTTGTGAAAATATAGATAAAAGCGTGATTTCAAGCTAGTTTCTAAGTGTAAAGGTTGCTTTTAGTGTCAATTTTAAGCATGAAAATAACAGTTTTTCAACTGTTATCAGCGAGAAAAAGAAACAACACGAGCATAAGGCTATGGGTGAAGAAGGTAGTTTGGGGTTGCTAGGAGTCTGGGAGGAAGTGGAGAATGAATATTTTCTTTTCTTCAAAAATAAAAAGAAAAGAAACTACTTTCTATACTGGTTATAATTAGAACTAGTATAGAAAGTTTTCTTATTTATTAAAAATATCTACTGTGTCCACTTTTTATATCAGTTATAATTAACATCGGTACAAAAATTTTTCTTATTTATTACAAAAATATCACCATATTCACTTTCTATATTAATTATAACTAGAACTAGTATAATTTTTTTTTCTTTATTACAAAATTGTCACTATGTTCACATTTTATAAATATTATAACTACAACCCGTATAAAAAGTGTTATCATATTTATAAGGGTTAAATATGTTTTTGGTCTATTAACTTTCAGCGAAAATTGAAATTAGTCCCTCTTCAAAACTTTGGCCTAATTTAGTCCTCAAACTTTAGAAATGTGTGAATTTAGTCCTTTTAACTAAATTTTGTTAGGGTTATTTGATGTTTCAAGTGCGTTTCATGATAACATTTGAGTTGTTTACACTGTTTGACACATTTTTGCTTCAATGTTCACTAAGAAATGCATTTGAAACATCAAATAAATTTAACCATGGTGCTACTTTTTACATATTTAACCCTATTTATAATTATACCATGGTGCTACTTTTTACACCTAATGAATTATAACAAAAGCATATTTAACCCTATTTATAATTATACCATGGTGCTACTTTTTACACCTAATGAATTATAACAAAAGCATATTTAACCCTATTTATAATTATACCATGGTGCTACTTTTTACACCATAACCAGTATAAAATATAAATCTACCAAATAAAACCATTAATATCTCAATTACAGGATCAATTACCATTACTTTTCTATCCTAGGGACCACCACCACTCATCACTACTCATCTTAATCCATTGTACACTATATAAGTAGTTTATTTCTTTTTCTGCAAAATTTTGTATATACCAATATGTATATGAAGGTATAAACATCTAAATATGAATATTTATGAACAATTTGTTTTTAATGAGATGTAAAGATGTAAAATATATATGGATTTTCAATAATCATTTGTAAGTATAATTGAGACATACATAGCATTGATATAAATGCTTAAGAAATACATCCGACGAAATTATGCGAGATTAGCCTGAATTGCTTAACCAACAAAATTTACTTATTGTCTAAATAAAAGTTCATTCGACGAATGGGTCAATTGAAGGTGTTTGTGTTTAACTCATCAAATAGAACTGTAATAACATACTTCATTTAGTTATCCTAATTTATGTTATAATACACTTATATTTAATAGGAAAAAAAAATCTTAAGACTTGAGATAGGGATAAAATGTCATGATTTAATAAAATTATACACATTCCCAGTGATCGTATTTTACAAACTAAATATAAATTTAAGAAATACTATGATTAGAAAATCGGAGTGAGAGATCCACCTTTTGTTACTATATATTTTTCTTCTGAATATTTTTCTCTTCATCCTTTGTGGTCATTTTCAGGTTCATAAAGGAAAGAAAAAAACGTACGGTTTTCCCTAATTTATTCCTCGTGGCCACAAAGTGAACACCGACTTTGCTTGATCTCACGCATGGACCAAGGCCATTTAATACCTTTACCAACTCTTCTCGTCTACACCAAATTTCATACAATCCCACACATGTGATTTTACTAGAACGAAGTCAACATAACTTAGAATTTGATATATATTTTTTTCATTGTAGATAATTTTTTTTATTATACTTACGTTGGATATGCATGATGTAATAATAATTCAAATGAAATAAGTATTGATCTGCAACCTGCCATATATTTGAGATGCCATCTTATTTTTCTCTACCTCCCAAATTTGCAAGCATTTCAAGCATTAATTGTTTCTGTAGAAGACATATAATACTGATATACTTCTATTTTGTTTCATTTTGTATTCAATAATGAGAAAAGAAGAAACTTTTACTTTGTAATAGATAAAAAATAATCTAGTTTGAAATTGAACCAAGAAGAAAACTTCAAGACTAGTTTTGAGGATAACTTGGGAATGGTGGCTTTATTGGACCAGCAATTTATTTCTGTCAGTGATCAAGTGGTGAAAAAGAAACACAGCACACTTCATAGCTCCCCACCAGCATGTGGCTTTATTGAACCATACATTGGTCAACTAGGCTAAGCTGGATGGACACACTATGAATTAATAGGTGTTGTTGGGGACCCAAATGTACTATGAACACAGAAAGTGACACACTCACATGTGGTGAGGGGATTAATTTGAGGCATATATGTCAAAGCAAATATGGTAATCAATTGTGCTCCAGAATCCAAGAACAAGAAAAGTGGCAAAAACCAATTGAAAGATAATGTAAGAGCATCTTAATACATGGTGTAATAATTTCTTAGAGCTACTTTAGACTCAATCAGAGTCCCTGGTGAAACCCTATTCACACTCTCTATCTCACTCATTTTAAAGCAGCAGTGAAGTAATTGTGTGCACAGCTACTACAAGTCCAAATGATCCAATCATCACCTGCAACCACCAATAATAGAACAGACCCAAATCAGTGTAACCTACCAAATGTGATGAATAAGTGAATGCCACCGCTATAATACTTTATAACTCTGATGATAATTAACACATCATCATGTGTTTCCTTGATCATGAAGTAGCAAGAAAGTACACTAACATAAAAAGAAAACCAACATTTGTATTCTATAATATAGCCCAGCTTCTATTGTCATGTTAGATTGACAAATCTATTACAATCAGAGTGAGAAAATAAGTGCTTTTATATATGTATATGTGTATATATATATATATATATATATATATATACATTTCTTTTTGTTTTTTTTGTCTTGCCACAAATTTTCCCAAGCCCACAAGCCTATTTTGTTCTTATTTGAAAACGAAATTTCAAGTTGTAACATATAGTAGTTGCTTTTTATCATGATTTTCAATGTCTGACAAATTTAAGAACAAATCTTACTGGGAGAGCTGAAAGGGCGATCTTAAATACTCGAAAAATCTGTTTACTCGAAACGTAACAATTTGTTCTTCTTCTTCTTAATTGTGGCCATAATATAGTTCCAGATTATCATTTCTGAACCTGGTTTGATGGAATCTATGTAGCTTCTACTAACAAACATAATTCTATATCATGAACGTGATAAAAAATGTGTTAGAAAATGTGAAAGAGAATCACCTGTTGTCGATGGCTACTAGAGGTGGGAAGAGGGTGTAGAGTAGCAGAGTCAACTTCATCAGTGGGAAGAGGCACTGCAGGGTTGCTGCTGATGAAGGGTACGCTGCCACTTTGATACGGTTCCAACGGAGCTGTTGCCACACTTGATGAAGGTGAAGGACCAGGTGAACCCTCTTGTAGAGTATTAAAATGCCATGGAAAAAAAGGAGATGGTGACACTTCACCAGAAAATGGAGGCAATGCTGAAGCTTGAGGTGTGGCTGCTACAACTGCTGAGGTCACCTCAATGGCTAGCTTCTGAGAGGCTTGGCATGCTATGAGAGACCCACCATTGAAGCTAAAGTAGAAGAAACCAGGTCGTGATGGATGCCACTGACAACATTAACATATATAATGGTAAAAATAATAACAACCAACACAAAAATGCTCAGTTTTCCATGAATAAGTTTAAATCCTCTTTGAGTATTTTCTTATTTCTCTTGCTAGAAGTTGAGTGAAAAAATACATATTAAGCATTTTGTACTTTTATGATTTCTTTATAAAGCATATTAGAACATATACTAGGTCAACTTGCATGTAGTTGCTTAGCTTTTTTTGATGGAAGTCTCTAATTTTGTATGTTGACAGATTAAGGTACTGTTAAAATGAAAACTTCAATTTTGATTAGAGAATAGTATAAAAGATATTTAAGTAACTAGATACATGTGAGTTTAATTAACAAAAATATGGTGTAGATATGACATTATTCATAGTTTTTAACCTTTTCTATTTCTGCAAAATCAATGGTTTTGGAAAGATTTACAAAGCACCCAGATGAAAAGTTTTGAAGGGAGGGTTTTACCGTGTAGGAGGCAGTGTTGGGATTGGTGAGAAGAGTGGCTTGTGCGAAATTGCAGAGATCAAAGGCATTCTGATTCTTGAAAATGTAGATGTTGTAGTGTTGCTTGTGATTGAAAACTGAGACATAGAGCAATGTTAGCTGCTAGTGTTAAAAAGTGCTTATAACAAAGATTCCATTGTTTTCTGGGGTATTCAATTAGTGGTAGTACTCACTGATGGAATCTCCAACGTGAACAGTGGGGTTCTTCCACTCTGAAGATCCATCAACTGTGATGGTGGTGCAATGAGAAGAGGGGAATAGTAAAGGTAGAAGTGTGAAGAAGAAAATGGAAACCGACATTTTCATTAATTTGCTTTGCTTTTCAAGGAAAATTTCAGAGAGGTTATAGAGACTTTCTCGCTTTTATGTTATATCTCTCTCTCATGGCCTGTTTGAAAATACAGGAACAAGAAAAGAAATGATATATGAAAATTGTTTGGGTGGTGAAACAGCGAAAGCGAGTGCTACAAATTAGGAATTAATTACCGATGGCTACGATCTGCCGGTATGCATAAGAGTCCGTCGATAATTGGAGTTTATTGACGGCTGCCAGACGGACTCAAAGCTCACGATAAGCACCTCGTCAGAAATTCATGCTGACGGATTGCGATCGTCAGAAATATTACCGACAACTTTTTTTGACGGTTTCTGTGTGTCGATAATTACCGACGGTGCTTATCGAAGGGTCCAACCGTCGGTTATTACCGTAGGATTTTCGACTACTTTGGGGCGTCGATAATTATCGACGGTTCTATCGAAGGTTCTGAGCCGTCGATAATTACTGTAAGTTTTTTACCATCGGTAAGTTTATATCGTTTCACAAAGATTTGCGTCTTTTACCGACGACCCTGTCCCTCGGTAACGTCGTCGGTAATGGACAGAGTAGCATGCAGTGTTGTTTGTTTGCTACCTTCCCATTATAATACACTTGCCAATCAATATCATCATCGATGCACACGATATTTGTTTCATACAATGCAGGTTTTCTATTTGTACATTGCTTTACTCACCACAATACACCTGCCAATCAATATCATCATACATCAATGCACTCTATTTGTTTTATAAAATGCAATCAATATATGAAACATCAAAACATCAGACATCAAATGTATGTCATTAATACCATACAAGTAGTTGATAATAGTATTAAACATCAAAACACAAATGTTTTTAAAGTAAGCAACTAAGTTTTGAAAGTTCATCGACTATTAATACCATAGAAGTAGTTGTTAAGACTAATAAATGTCAAAACTAAAAAAAGTTTTTAAACCAAGCAACTAAGTTTTAAAAGTTCATCAACTCCTAATAGCCAGTATAATCATGAGAATCATCATCTTCATCCTGAGGCAGTTGTTGCTGGACAGGTTCTTGCACGCGAGTGGGCTGCATGGGCTGTGTCAGTGAGTGTGGCTGGTGGGAAGATGATGAGTCGGATACTTCTTCGTGAGGTATGTATTTCTTGAACATATCTTCAACAGTCTTCAATCTGGTTATAACTGCATCATAAGCCTCTCTACTGACCATGTTGATTTGCTCAGTATTGTTGGATGTAGATGGTTGATGTTTCAATATCCCTCCTCTTGCAGCACTATAATTGGAGGCAAGTTGTCCTGCCCCATAAAATCTTCCTTTCTTCTTCCCCCCGATGACATCAACCCAGCATTGGGTCTTCATGATGTCCTCATTTGCATCTATTCTTGAGGCAGCATCAGGAGTAGATTCCACCTTCGATCTCGCCTGTGTGAGTCTAATAGAAAAATCTTCCTATTAAATCAGATAAAAAAACGTCAATAACTTTAATTTCAAAGTGTGAAACTAAAATAAATAGTAGAAAATTGAATATTATTACGCCAAACTACTTACAATGGTCTTGCGAGATCTCTCATCAACAAATGTGCCAGTGCCCTTCCGAATATGAGTTTGTGTAAACACCTCATCAACACTAACAGCACGTCCCAGCTGTGCTGCCTGTAAAATTATAAAACATATAATTTCAAAGTACATGATGTTATGGAAAAATTGATAAGAAATGAATGAAGATTTCTACCATACAAATGGCATGCTCATGTGTAGTGATCGATCCTCCAGTGTGTTGCGCACCACCTTTTTCTGAAGCCCTATTTTTCTGGGCGGTAGCACATTTAACGCGGTATGCTGGCTGATAACAATTGAAAAACTGTTATTTTCATGCTTAAAATTGATACTAAAAGCATCTTTTAACACTTAGAAACTAGCTTGAAATCATGCTTTTGGTGATATTTTTAGAAATAAGAGAGCTGGATAGGTTTATGCTTGATTTCAGTGTTTTATGCAGGTTTTAAGGTGAATTTGGTGAAAGAAGTGAAGAAGGATAGAGATGGAATCAGAAAAGACATAAAAAAGTGCAAAAGGAGAAGTCGCAACTACCGCTCAACGGCAGTTTACCGCTGAGCGGCACTCAGGAACTCACGTTGGATCCACTGAGGGGGAAGAATCAACTCACGCACTTACCGCTGAGCGGCACTATTTTGGGCTTGGGCCTAATTTTCTGTATATTTTAGAATAGTATATAAGCTTTAGGACGTCCTAGGGTTTGTATCTTTGGCTGGGACGAAGCAAACACTCACTTTTCCACCCCTTGAAGGAAGATCTTGGATGCTCAGGCTACCTCTTCATCTTTCTAGGGTTCTATCTTTCATTCTTTCATTATTGTTCATCTAGTTTCACGAGATCCCTTGTAAAGTTAAGTAAGCAGGCTTGGTATAGAGTACATAGCATTATCTTCCTCCTGAATGCCGAAAATCTCGTGGTCCTATTGTAAAGACCAAAAATATACAGCGCAACAAATCTCGGACGGTGCTCCGGGGGTCGGTGTCCCGTTGGGATCACGCAAAGGAAGGAAGGGTAACCGAGGGTTCCCGTTCACGATCAATGGAGTGTGGCTTGTGTGTCAGGTTAATTGTCATAAATGGGCCGTTTTTCCGAGGAATATGAATGTTGGTAGTCGGTTTTTGTTTCGCATGTCGGGGTCCATCGGTTCACCGACCAAAGGGGACGAAATTGTCCTAAAACCCAAGAACTGGGAGGTAATTTGTTATATAGCCTAGGCGAACAAACTAATAATATCCTCCTGCATTCCATAGGGTTCTTTTGAAGATCCATTCTGCTCATTACACTAATTTAACCCTTTATTAGGCTTCCACAATCCAACAATCACCAATCTGCTCTAGTAAGAATAAGGTATCAAGTTAACACTTAAATCTAAAATCAAGTAAGCCTTTTTTTTATCCTTTTTTTCCTTCTCTATTGGCATGGAATGGAAAAGCCCCTGATCTTTTTTGGCTTTTGTATGGAATGGACTGAGGGGGGGGGGGGTGGCGGCCGGGTGTTGGTTGGTTAGGAAGATAAAGAAACGATCTGTGGTAATATGTTGGTTTTATACTGGGTCCTTTGTTATTCAAGGGTGCATCATCGTCTACGTCTTTTTCTTTTTAGAGACTTCTCCCTCAGGTTTAGTATAGGGAGCTGACTGCACTGTTATTGTAATATCGGGGGCGTCCCTTCCAAGGTACATCATTGGTGTCCACCATCTTGGGTTGATAATTCGGTAAGAAATCAAATTGGGGGTTCTCTTTTCTCGGCTTGAGTTTTAATGTGGGGAAAAGTGGAAACATAGTCTTTTACCGCTTTAATCGGGTCTCTTTTTTTCTTTCCCTTTTCTCCTTTTCGGGGGGTCTCTTTCTCTCTTCTTTTCTTTCGTTTTCCTTGTTTCGCAGCGCTCGGCTTCGAAGCTCTCTTGTTGCCCCTGCGGGCGTCGGGTGCGGTGTGCTGGTGTTTGTTTTGTTTTTTTGTTGGTTTTTTTTTTCCCGCGGGGGGGGGGGGGGGGGGGGGGGGGGGTGGGGTTTTTTTTTCTCTCCCCGTTTTTTTTCCTTAACTCAATTGTCTCATCATTTTGTACTCTCCCAAACACTTTTTTAAAACAATTCTTTCCCTGGGGTTAAACCTCAGTATTGCCCCCAAAAATTTTTGTCCTGGCCCTCTTCTTTCCACAACTGCTTTGGGGGTAATCGACCCATTTTGAATCTCCAAATTTCCTTTAATAGCAAGCTTTAGTGCTTCCTTTTTGAGTGAGAACTCAGTTTGATCCCTGTATGAACTGAATGAAGAGTTTTTTTCCTTCCATCCTTATGGATCTTTCAATAAGTAATAGAAAAAATCTGTTTCATAAGGTTTTTGGTTTGTTGTTTGTTTTGCTCTTGTTAAAAAATTGCCCACTTTGTCCAAGCTTTGCCCACTTTGGTCCCTTGACCAAATATGCTTTGGGGTTGTGGTTTTTCCACCCCTTTGAAGTTAAATTCCCACACCTGACCCGATTATTGATTGGCCAATGAAGTTAACATAATCCCTCTTAAGGATTCTGCTGGAAAGGTGCAATTGACCATTATATGGTCACACCGCCCAACATAATTCACATAAACATAACCTGTGAATTGAACCTGTGCAACAGTCCCTTTTAACAACTTAACCAATTAAACCTCTTTTGGGCAGTTGTGCAAGTGTTTTTTTGTAAGAGTCTCCCCATTGTTGAGTTAGTTATCCCTTGTTTTCCTGTGGCTAGCCAAAGGCATCATTGGTTTGTAACTGTTAGAACTCCTTTTTGTTTGAATATGAGCTCCCTCTTTCACTATTCAAGCTCAATTATCAACTTGTGCCATATTTTTTTTCAATAATTTCTTTCTGTAAATCTTCCGTCTGTGTAGTTTTTTTTCCATTTGATATTTTCCTCCTGCTGAGGCGTCATGCATTATCTTGGGTTTGTTGAGCCACGAACCTCCAGGAAGATTAGGACTACTTTCACTTCATTCATCAAATTCCATTCGTGGGAGTCCTTTCGTTCCTTTAATAAAGCTTTATAAATCTGCCTGTCCCATGCATGCCCTCTTGATTCCTCCCATACCTTTGCCTGAAAAATGATGAAAATTCCTCTTGCTTTGTCTTTCTTTTATTTACCTTTGAATTATGGAAAGTAATTTGTTTGTTTAGGAAACTTTTTGTCACCACTCTTGCTCCACTTTCTGCTTCCCACCTCTATAAAGCTTCCTTCAGGAAAAGAATTCAACCAAAGCTTAGCGTTGCCTCCTAATGAGAATGGAAACAGGCTAAGTTTGATTGCTTCGTCCCCCGAACACAGCCCCTTTATTTTGTACCCGTTGTTTTTGCAGTCTCATTAAAAAAAGTTGTGAGTGCTCATATGGTGCCCTTTTTTTCGTGAGACAACCCAATTAAATTGATTACTCTTCACAACCAGTTGATTAATGTTTCGGTTTTATCAATTTTTCACCTCCATATTAGCTGCATTGACTCTTGGTCTTGCTATGGCTATTGAAATGCTGAGGTCAGCTATATTAAGTGTAATCTGCAAGAGTCTTCTGGCAAATTATTATTCTTCTCCATATTTCCTCAGTGCTATGGTCA